AGGGTGCATGTAAGGCTGCCAAGGCCAGCAACAAGGCTATGAGGATCTCACCCAGGGCCCTCAGTTCAGTGGTACCTGGCCGCCTACATGGAACACTCCCCAACGTCTCAGCATCTCCACTGAGAAGGATCTGGGCTTTGACCAGTAATTGAGAGCTCGTGGTGCTCTCATCCCATCACACCTAGGAACCAACCACAGTGTGGCATTTTCTACCAGACAAGCAGGATAGAGCTGTGTCAGTCTGGGAAGTTTCACATGCTGGAGCCCCTCCCTAGGACAATCCTAATGTATATGCACACAGCAGGGCGGTAACAAGTTCAAAAACCAGAAACGTTAAACAGCAGGAAGGGCTGTGACCACTGTGGCTTTGCCACCACTATGCCAGATTGACCCTGATAGATGTCTGCAAGCAGATCAGGAATAGCTAAAACCTGTGTTCTGAGAACCTATGCAACTAGTCTGGGCCAAGGCAAAAAGGAAAAGACATTTTGCAATCACACAAGTCAAAACCTGTGAAGCTAACCAGCCTATGACACAGACCCAGCCTGGAGATTTAAGTTTTTAAAAAGGGCTCAGTGCTAACCCGCACTCTTAGCACATGCAAAGCCCAGAGTTGAACTCCTAGCATACACACTTACACACACACAAAGTTTTAATTCAGGTTATTTTTTGAGACAAGGTTGGCCTGGAATTCACTATGTAGACCAGACTGGCCTCAAACTAAGAGATCCTTCTGTCTCTGCCTCCACCTCCCCATATTGGAATTAAAGATGTGTACATACATACCTTAACCCCTCTCTCTTTTAAACTGATCTATTGCACAAATAAAGCTGAGCAAGTGTTCATGAGATTCTAAGCACCTGTACTAGTTCCTTCAAAGGCTACCAAGAAAATAAGAGCCAAGTGTAATAACAGCAGCAAGTGGGCCAGTTATGTGAACAAGTGACAGCCTGCCCTCAGTCGCAGGCCAGAACTGAACTAGCTGTGTGACTCTGGTACACGACCATGTGTCAAGGGGTAAAGATAATGCTGAGACACAGCTGGTCTGGGCTGGTTCATACCCTACACCCATGCTCAAACTCTTGGCCGCTGAATTGTGGCACGGTCACTGCCAACCCAAAACAAGTGGCTGCTCATAAAAACACCCTCTGTCTGGGCCACAAAAAATTAGTATCTACGATTTGAAGATCCCAACTTTGCACAAGTTGAAAATCAAACTCCATTTAAAATTCAGCATAGAAGCCTACCATGTTGTCTCATCCCCTCATCCAAGCACTAGGGAGTCCGAGGCAAGCAGATCATGAGTTTGAGGCCAGACTACATAGTGATGCCCTGTCCAACAAAGAGTCCAGTACTGGCTTTCCCTCCGTGACTCCATCCACCCACGTGTGGACACCACCCATGCTCAAGGTGTATAGCATCCCCACAGTGTCCACAGAACAGCAGTATGGTACTTACCTTCCACACTCAGTGTGATCAGAAAAGGATTTTATGGCACTCATTATCAAGGGGACTTCAGCTTTGGTGTCAGTTCCATCACAATGTGTGAGGCAGGTTGCCCCATTACCTGGAGAACAAGGGTCGAATGACTTAGTTCTTGTATTCCCAATAGACCACCTCATCTTTAAACACCCTGTAAGACAACTGAAAGGGTCCGTGCTGCCCAGCTAACCCATCTGACCAGTGCACCAGGGAGAGTCCATGCAGACAAGACATGGCTTCCAATTCTACTCTAGGAAACTCAACTAAGAAAATCAGGGGTCCCACATGGTTGGGATAGTTTAACAGTTTCCTTCATCTCTTGTCATCATACCTGTATGCCTCAGGACCACAATGTGACAAGTAGTGGCATCATCAGAACCCAGAATGGAGATGGAGCCTGTTTAAAAAAAGAAATAGCATAAAACAGCCAGTAGGCTTTGGGATAAGACCCAAGGCACTGCTTCCTAACCTACCATCCTTTGGGGTGGTCACTGCAAGCTCTCTTTGCTGAACATACAGAAGGCCCTGGGGTCCCACTTGTTGAACAGACTGACCTCTGAGAAGTCTGGCTCTTTCCTGTTTAATTGAAACAGAATAAAATAGTTGTGTGAATTAGTGAGGCTTGAACTAGAGAGGCGGAAAGAGCCAATGTATACTCAGAAGTGGGAAGCAGGCAGGCATGTGTGAACTATGCTGTCCTGGCTACCGAAGGCTGATGGAGAAAGACAGCAGGAACATCCCTCTGACTAGGAGGAACTACATTATGACTCAGGATCCCAGTGCCTGGGAGGGAGACGCCCAATCCTGTATCATACATAGTTCAAGGGTCTGAGACTTGACCTTATTTTGAGACAAAGTAGTTCAGGCTGTCCTTAAACTGTCCAGTCTCCTATTTCACGAGTGCTGGGATTACAGGTGTGCATCACTGTTTCACAAGTATAAGAAAGAGGCAGGTGGGCGGTTCATGCTTACAGTCCCAACACTGGAGGCACAAGCTAGAGGAAGGCTGTCTCAAAGGCAAAGCTGGCTGCACATGGAAGGAAACACCTGTAGTGCTGACATGCTGACAATCCCAGCACTCAGGAGGCTTAGAGCAGCCTTGGCACCCTGGGGTAGAGGTGGGGGGTTGACGCACTACTAAAATGAACTCTACCTTCCTTCCAACTTGCAACAAATTCCCCAGTAAGCAAGCATAATCATTGTGTCCATGTACATACACCTGCTTCGCTCTTACATCAACTTCTTACCATTTCTCGCACCTGGTGCTAATGTAAGTTTGTGTCTAATTACTTAATAAAATCCAAGAAACCTGATAAACTTAATGATCAACCTAACTAATTAGGCAGTATCTTCTTTTAGTGAATTCCCACTGCCCGGATGCTAGGAGATAATTAAAACAGGACATGCCCCTCAATTTAAGAACTGAACTAGGAGATTCTGGGTCCAGAATTCAATCTCCAGCAAGATAGGGGTGAGGCACAGGAAAGAAAAAGATATAAATTAAACTGCTGTAAACCACTAAGTCAGGCTGGTGAGGCAACATGGTTTGTTGTATAACCTGGAGTAAATCAAGAATCCCTCCAATCTCATATTCATCACACCCCAGCCAGGTGACATGCCAGACACTTGCCCCCTCTTTCCAGTTCCTTTCCTAACCTCCTTTGGGGAGGAATTAAGGCAGATTTTTACCATGTTCACAACTGGTCCACCACCAAAGAGCAAAGTGGTGTGTGAGAACAAGTTACTATTTCAAGGCTAACACAAGAAATGAAAGCAAAGGTAACCAGAAACACCGAAGCACAAGACAACCACTAGCCTGCCTCTTCTCCCACTTGGTAAAAGCTGTTCCTAAATGCAGACTCACCTCATCACTTTTGAGTACATGAGAGAAACAAAGAGATGCAGATGGTCACGTAGTACAGGAGTGTAAGGTGTGCATGACTGAGAAACGTGCATGTGTGAGAGGTGTGTACATATGAGGTGTACATGTGTATACAGCTGGAAGCCAGAGGCCAATGTCATATGCACTCCTGTTAACTCTACCTTGTTTTTTTCTTTCATTTTGTGTATGAATGCATGTGGTGCTACACACATGGCTTGCATGTGGCGGCCAGAAGGCAACCCTTATAGTTTTTTCCTCCTCCATGTATGTTCCAGAGACTGAACTCGGGTCATCAGGCTTGGCAGCAAGTGCCTTTACCTTATGTGCTGTCTGGACAGCAATACCTTGATGTTTTGAGGCAGGGTCTCACTGAACCTGAAGCTGCCACCCAGCACCTGGGAGCCACAGTGCTCCACCCCTCAGCACTGGGACTACATAAGCACCCTAAAGCCTTTTGTGTGGGTCCTGGGATCTGTGCTTGGGTCCCCGTGCTTCTCCAGCAGGAGTGTCATCCACTGAGCCAAGCTCCCCATGACATACTTCCTAAAATAGTAGTGGCCCAGTTGTGGCAGTGTCTCATATCTCTCGGTGTGTAATTCATGTATCCTCAGTCCCTTAACTTCCTTTCCCAAGGCGTGTGAATGGTGCTGCTTTCTTTGCTGGGGGTCAGCAAACTTTCCTCTCAGAATGACTACATAATAAGCCAAAGGATCTCTGCCACTATTTGGTGAAAACAGCCAGAGTTGTACATGGATGCGGCTGCATTCCAATAAAATGTGATAGGTGACACGCAAGTTTAATTAATGTAATTCACTGTTATAAAGTATTATTGTTCCTCTTACTTTTCTGACCACCTAAAGAGATGGGGGCTAGGAGTATCTCGGAAGCAGGCCCTTGTCTAGCATGTGGCCCAGCACTCTGTCCCACCATAGGACCAGGAAGAAAAGAATCCTTATCTACAACGTTAGGGACCAGCCTATACCTCTTACCCTTCTCCTCCAGCAGCTGCACTGTGAAGCATGAGGTGTCTACCAAGCCACTAGCAGAAGTCTGGGTGTGACTCAGTGGTGGGAGTGTGAAGTGGGATGTCCTGGGTTCCACCCCATGCAGTACTGAAAACTCTAACAGCAGATACTAAGGACCAGTGCACTGGGCCACTCAAGATTACTGACTCCAAGTTTCTCACTATTGTCTACCCTGGAACATACTGTGTAGCCCAAGATCTATTCAAGTCCCCCAAAGTCCTACTTCTGCCTCCTGACCATTAGCACCTACAGGGGTGCCCCATGCTGCAAGTGGCTGCTGTACTGAATTACACGACATCCAAAGTGGGGGGAAGAAAGCAGAGTTCTGGTTTTGACTTCTAAGCATGGGACCTGGGACGGTCACACTGTTTTGATGGGGGATGTCCTTCTGTATATTTTTCTCTTATTGGTTGATAAATAAATCACTGTTGGCCAATAAGGCAGGAAGATAGGCAGGATTAGAAGGCTCCAGGGCAGTGGGACTGGCCTGGTCAAGAAAAATCTCCCATAACACTTAGTCACTATTCTATCGCTGTAAAGAGACACCATGCCAATGCAACTCTTATTTAAAAAAAAAAAAAAAAAAAAAAAAAAAAAAATTTAAATTAATATGACAATAGTGAAAAACTTGGAGTCAGTAATCTTGAGTGGCCCAGTGCACTGCTCCTTAATGTCTGCTGTTAGAGTTTTCTGTGTTTAGGGTTAGACCACGGCAGGAAGCAAGCAGGCATTGAGCTGGGGCAGTAGCTGAGAGCTTTGTATCCTGGGCCTGACATGGGCTTTTGAAATGTGAAAAGTGACACACCTCCTCCAGTATGCCACACCTAATCTTTCCTAAATAGTTCTACTAACTAGAGGCCAAGTGTCACACATCTGAACTTGTGGGGCCATTCTCACTCAAACTACCACACTGTGTGTCTGACCCTCACAGCCCTCAAATTAGAAAATAAGAGTAAAAGTACTCATCTTGTTGGGCACAGTGTGGGGCCAGTTCCACTGTGGCCGCCCATGAGTGCCTGAAACCAGAAAGTGTTAAACCTAGGCATGCTGGTGAGTAAATGAGAAGGAGATTAACAGTAACAGTATGGGATTGCCCTAGTAACATCTATGATGGCAGGTATTTCACACTTTTTAGGCAGCATGGTGGCACATGCCTGTGGTCCCAGCCTGGAAGGCCTCGAAGATCATGAGTTGGCAATCAGCCTGAGCTAAAGTGAGACCTTCTTTCAAAATGGGGGGGGGGAGGAGAACAGTATCAGTTAGTGTTCTGGTGTCTTCCATTTAAAATGTTCAGACTATGGTTGCTACAAAAAGGATGAAGGTGGGGGCAAGATACTAATTAGGCTTATTACTTGCTGGTGTTATGCACTCACAAAATACATGAAACTCACACAGGATAACGGCATGGTGGCGAATGCCTTTAATCCCAGCACTGGGGGAGGCAGCTCTCTGTGTTCAAGGCCAGCCTGATCTTCAGAGTGAGTTCCAGGACAGCCAGGGCTACACAAAGAAAAAAAACCTCGAACCCCACCACCACCAAAAGAAAGACAGACACACAGGAAATAAGCCAGGCATGGTAGTTTATAGCTGCAATCCCAGCACTTTCAAGGCTAAGGCATTAGTGTATGAAAGGCCGGCCTGGGCTATACAGTGAAACTGTATCAAAAATAACTAAGACATCCAGGTAGTGGTGGCACACACTTTTATCCCAGCACTCGTGAAGCAGAGACAGGCAGATCTCAGAGAGTTCAAGATCAGCCTGCCTATCTGTCTCAAAAAAGGGGCTGGGGGACAGAGACAAGATGCTACAGAGATGGTCAGTAGTTCAAACTGTTTGCTGAGAAATCTACGAGAGGTTAGGTGCAGGATTCGCACACATGCCTGTAGCTGCAGCTCTGAGGAGGGTGATGACAAGATGAACTCAGCATCTTCAGGAAGTGACCCTGCCTCGGAGGAATTGCACTGAGTGGAGATGAAGACACTTGATGCTGCCTTCTGGCCTCCCTGTGCACACACATGTAACCACACATATGTGTACATACATACATAGGTAATATACAGGGTGGTGTGCACACCTTTAATCCCAGCATTTGGGAGGCAGAGGAAGGAACTCAGAGCTGGAGGTAGGCCTACAGAGTTCCAGGCCAGCCAGGGCTACACAGTAAGATCACGGAAGGAGGGAGGGGGAGGGGCGGAGCAAGAAGCCAGGGAAGCAGAGGTAGGTGGCGCTCTCTGAGTTTGTGGGCAGCCTGGTCTACATATCAAGTTCCAGGACAGCCACAGGAAATGTAGAATGTAGAGAGCCCCTGTCCCCAAAACAAAAAAACACTTGTGAGGAGTCACCAAAACCATGAGAAGAATGGCTGTGAGCAAAGACACGACTTTCTACTTCCGTCTACAGAGCACACACCATCCCAAAGAAACGGAACAACTTTCCCGCACCACTGGGGATGCAGTCCAGACTGCAGCCTACTCCCCTGGCCCTCTCTGTCCTCACTGGTGGCCACTCGCATCCCTGCCACCCCTTTCTTGCCTGCTCTGAAAGGCACCTCTTCACTCTGCAGCCCTTTCAGGACTGTGTCTCCCCAAACAGACCAAAATCCTCGCTTCCGGGGGCACCGCCCCACATCCCCTCATCTCTGCCTTCTCACGCCGTAGTGGCCACCGAAACCAGAAGTTTCCAAACAGACACAGGGAAGAGTACCTCCCCTAAATCCTTGAGGTGGGTGAAACTTTTCTTTGTCATCAATACTCATATATTACTCCTGGCTTCACCGACCCAGTGACGGTGCCACAGCAAGGAAAGGTGTGCAGTGCCCAAGTCTTGAGATTCAAGGTAACGGTCACAGTCTCCTTGCTCCACAGTTCTCCGGGGTCCATTCATTTACCCATCGGCTCCAGGGGAAATCGGAGCAAGCAAGCAAGCAAGCAAGCAAGCAAGCAAGCAAGCAAGCAAGCAAGCAAGCAAGCAAGCAAGCAAGCAAGCAAGCAAACGGGACCACAACCCCCACGGCGGCTCAGAGGAAACGTCTAGGCTGCCTTCCCTAGCCCCTGGCTCTTGGGCTTCGCCTCCCCGAGTGAAAGCGGACTGGCCCCTTCCTGGACCGCACTGTGTGAGATCCCTGGGCGGGCTGACACCAACCAGACGGGCATGCGGGGCCCTTGGCCAGCACCGGCCTTCGCTGTGAGCCCTCTTCCTGGAGTCCCCGCAAGGAAAGAAGACAAAAGCCCATCCGTCCTGCAGGGAGGGCGCAGTCCTCCCGGACCCAGCGCCTCCCAACCGAGACCCACCCTTCTGACTACGAACCACCAGGCGCCCCGCGCCGCGTTGGACCCGCCCGAGTGTGCTCGCAGAGGCCTGGGCCCCTCCCGCCCCTGTCCGCGGTCGGGCTGTGGGACGCGGTGAGCCGCTCGAGCGCCCCGACGTGCGGAGCCCCCGGTGTCCTCGCGCTGCGTGCTGGGCGACCTTAGGTAAGTCACCTACCCTCTCTGGGCCCCGTCTCCGACGATCCCCCGGGACCCCACCCGCCCCGCGGGCCTGGGTCCGCTCACCTCCAGCGACGGGTGCTCTCGGACCAGCTCGGCAGCGGAGCGGGCCAGCCGTACTCGCCGCCCGTCCACCAGCAGCGGCATTGCCTAAGCCGCTGCCAGGCCGAGGTAGGCGCCCGCCCCGCCCTTCCCCGCCCTGCCCTGACCCGCCCATCTTGGAGGGCACGCCCCAACCCGCCGCGGGGACTGCCGGGACGAGGGAATCGAAGTTACGAGGAGGCCGCAAGGCATCACGGGAGATGCAGTCCCGCCTGTAGGCACCTTGTCGGAGGCCGTCTTTCGCTGCGGACGCTGGGAGATGTCGTCACCGAGGCTGGGCGTCCCCGCCTCTGCGTTTCCTCCTGGCCCTTCACCGCCCTCAGCAGAAAAGCCCGCCAGTCCAGTCACCCACCTCTAAACCGTGGATCTAAATGTAAACTGTTTTGTGTGACCCCAAGCCAAAGCCATCGCCCTGACATTCTCAAGTAGGGCTGAAAAAGATGCAGGTAAAGTCAAGTTCTGGCTAAGACAGGGTTTTCAGCCTGCCCGTGGTGTCTTCCTCAGCCTGCACTCCCAGCGTTACATAAATTACATAGCTTTTACAAAGTAGTTGACCACCGGAAGGTCCCAAAACACAGGAATAAGGTCTGTTTATTGAACTTGGGGGTCACAACCTGTACCCCAAGTCAGGTCCAGTCGCCTGCTCCCAATAAGCCAACTGATTAATTAAAGAGCCTAACTAAAAGTGGGAAGCAGAAAGACCATATTCAATATGGTCACATTGGGAAGAAGGACAAAGAGGGCCAGTTAACACCTCAAGTCCATCTTCGTGAGGTCAAAGTTTAAATAGAAGGGAAAGGATATGCACATCTAAGCAGACCATTCACCCATTGTGGAGAGCCAGATTCTAGGGTAAAGGGGCCAGCCAAAGAAACATACCCTTGCTGCTGACCAACTCAATACAAAAACCAACCAATCCCGGAACAGGAAAACCCACTAATCCCTGAACACAAAACTAGACAAATCCTGAGCATGGATTCCACCCAATCTCTGAGCTTGTCTGAGTTCAATGATTGAAATCTAACCAGTTACCAACTTGAAATTCCTCACCCTGGAAAAACTGCCCCTAAGAAGCCCTACTGTACCTGTTCAGTTGGGAGCTGCCTTTTGACACTCTGGCAGAGACAGCCATCCTTCTGGATTCTTCCCTCCCAATAAATCTCTTAATGTTTGGGTGAGGACCTTCTTTAGCTCAAGTCAACCACACAGAACTGTAACACTTTCACTGAGGAAACCTTCCCCTAGGGAACATTGGGGAGGTGTGGTGGTATTGACTTTGTGGTGTTATTTCTTGGCTCCAGACTGCCAGGATACGTATCACAGCTGTGATGCTTAGACACACCAAACCAAGACTTTCTAAGAGGCCTTAACGAAAAGACAGAGGTTATTTCTGTGTGCTTGTCCAGAAACAGACTTGACAAAGCCTCCCTCACACTGAAGCCAGTGTCTGGTGTTTCTGGAAACCTGACTCTTCTCCCTGGGCTATCGTTGTCAGTCCTAAAGCTGTGTTTGCCGTATCCTGTGTTCTTTTTGTCAATTTGCCTGACTTAGCTCTCAGCTGACCTTAGCCTTTTCCCCCTGCAAATAGTATATATGATACTGTACTTTTTAAAAATTGAGCTTTTCATTCTTCCTTATTCCCCTTCCCTTCTCCCCATCTACTCTCCCCCTGCCCCCCATGTTCCCAATTTACTCAGGAGATCTTGTCTTTTCCCACTTCCTAGGTGGATCTATGTATGTTTCTCTTAGGGCCTTCTTTGTTACATAGCATCTCTGGGGTTGTGGCCTGTAGTCTGGTTATCTTTTGCTTTTATGTTTAATATCCACTTATGAGTGAGTACATATTATATTTGTCTTTCTGGGCCTGGATTACCTCACTCTGGATGGCTTTTTCTAGTTTTGTCCATTTGCTTGCAAATTCAAAGACGTCATTGTTTTTTTTTTACTGTTGAGTAGTACTCTATTGTGTAAATTGCACCACATTTTCCCTATCCATTCTTCGGTTGAGAGGAATCTAGATTGATTCCAAGTTCTGGCTATCACAAATAATCCTGCTATGAGCATAGCTGAGATGTCCTTGTGGTGTGAGTGTGCATCCTTTTGGTATATGTCCAAAAGTGGTATTGCTGGGTCTTTGTAGGCTGATTCCCAATTTTCTCAGAAACCTCCATACTGATTTCCACAGTAGCTGTACAAGTTTGTACTCCCACCAGCAATGGAGGAGTATTCCCCTTACTCCATATCCTCTCCAGCATAGGCTGTCATCAGTTTTTGATCTTGGCCATTCTGACAGGTGTAATATGGTGTCTCAGAGTTGCTTTGATTTGCATGTCTCTGATGGCTAAGGATGTTGAGGATTTCCTTAAGTGTCTTTCGGGCCTTTGAGATTTCTCTGTTGAGAGTTCTTTTTTTTTTTTTCAATCTGTACCCAATTTTGTTTTTATTGGATTATTTGAACTTTTGATGCATGGTTTCTTGAGTTCTTTGTATATTTTAGAGATCAGTTGATGGGGAATGTACTTCTGTGTATGTTCACTTATTGATTGTTGAATAAAGTACTGTTTGGCCAATGAGGCAGCAAGTTAGGCGGGACTAGGAGTCAAGGAGGATTCTGGGAAATTTAGTAAAAAAGTGGTGATCAGGCAGGAAATGGCACAGCAGGGAGACTCATACATAAACAAGGAAAGAAGGAAGTGGGCCCCCTTCTCTCTTCCTCCAGAGTCACCATGTGAGCCCAGGAAGACAGGATGCTTGCCACTAGCATCCAATAAGATAAGTCTTACAAAATATATAGATTTATGATAATTAAGAATGAGCTAACAGGTGAGAAGTCCTAGTCATTGGCCAAGCAGCATCTGTCTCTGTGTATTATTTTGGCCATACATGTGGCAGGCAGAATTTAAGCAGGTGGTGGAAAGATTTATTGTAACAATCTATCAGATGTGGGGTTAGTGAAGATCTTTTCCCATTCTGTAGGCTGCTGTTTTGTCTTGTTGACTGTGTCCTTTGCTTTACAGAAGCTTCTCTGTTTCAGGAGGTCCCATTTACTCATTGTTGCTCTCAGTGTCTGTGCTACTGGTGTTCTATTTAGGAAGTGATCTCCTGTACTAATGCCTTCAAGGCTACTTCCCAGTTTCTCTTTTATGAGGGTCATTGTGGTTGGTTTTGTGTTAAGGTCTTTGATCCATTTGGACCTGAGTTTTGTGCATGGTGATAGACATGAATGTATTTGCATTCTTCTACATGTCAACATCTAGTTATGCCAGCACCATTTGTTGAAGATGCTTTCTTTTTCCCTTGTATAATTTTAATTCCATCAAGTTAGGTGTTCATAGGTGTGTGGATTGATAGCATGGTCTTCGATTCCATTCCATTGGTCCACCTGTATGTTTTTATGCCAATACCAAGCTGTTTCATTACTGTATCTCTATATAGTTTGAAGTCAGGTACGGTGATTCCTCCAGAAGTTCCTTTATTGTACAGGATTTTTGGCTATCGTGGTTTTTTGTTTTTCTGTATGAAGTTGAGTATTGTTCTTTTGAGGTCTGTGAAGAATTGTGCTGGGATGTTGATGGGTATTGCATTTAATCTGTAGATTGCTTTTGGTAAGATTGCCACTTTTACCATATTAATCCTACCTATCCAAGAGCATGGGACATCTTTCCATTTTCTGATGTCTTTTTCAATTTCTTTCCTCAGACTTAAAGTTCTTGTCATACAGGTCTTTCACTTGTTTGATTAGAGTTACCCCAAGATAATTTTATGTTATTTGAAGCTATTGTAAAGGGTGATGTTTCTCTGATTTCTTTCTCAGCCCGTTTATCATCTGTATATTGGAGGGCTACTGAGTTTTTGAGTTGATCCTGCTACTTTACTGAAGGTATTTATTAGTTGTAGGAGTTCCCTGGTGGAATTTTTAGGGTCACTTAATAAACTTGCTTGGCATATAAATCAGCTTCTGGAAGCACTCCAGGGTCCCAACTATTACTGCTTTTGTCTTCTTTATTTCTCCTCTATTTCTCACCAATGGTCCTCCCATTCAACACCTTGCTGTGTTCAACGCCCATATTCCTGCTTTTTGTGTCAACCCATCATTTTCTGAAATTTTCATTCTGTGCTCTGACAAGTTGTTAGAATTCTAAAATCTCTCCTGTAGACAAGTTCCCTTTCTTGTTGGCATCTTTTCCTACTTCCAGCAGAAGATTACTGGAGAAACACCCATTTCTTAGGAATCTATTGTTTGAAAGGTCTGATACATTGAGATTGGAGGAGTTTAGAGTTGTAGTCTAATGAAGGGAAGTCAGGCCAGGTACTTGAGGCCATGGGATCCTTGGCTTGTGCAGCTTGCTTTCCTTATAGCACTCAGGACCCCCTGCCGAGGGGTGGTACTGCCCCTGTGAGCTGGGCCCGTCTACTTCAACCATTAATCAAGAAAATGCCCTATAGACTTGCCTGCAAGCCATCTGATAGAGGCATTTTCTCAATTGAAGATCCCAGATGACTTTAGCTTGTGTCAGTTCTAAGTTTGTATAGAAAACCAACCAGGACACCCAAGGCCCCAGCATTATTTCATAAAGTTCACTTTGGGAAATGAATGAGATTTCTGGGCTTCCTTAGAGCATTAGGTGAGGGTGCCCCCACCCAACCAGCTGTGTCTGGAAAGTCTTTACCCAGAAGGAATAAGAGGTACCCCTCCCCTAGTACAGGGAACAGCTGCATCTCACCACCCTTTCAACCCCTGTGGCAGAATGCAAATAGTCAAAAAGCCAACCTGGGATTATTCATTTGCAAGGGGCTCAGCTGAACTCCCCAGAATAGTAGTTGCTTGGCTCCTAGAATAATGTCACAACATAGGTCCTCCCTCTCCAGTGGCCTGGAATTCACTGTATAGTCTTAGGTTAATCTTGAGTTCATGACAGTCCTGTCTTTGCCTCATAAGTACTGAGATTATGGCTTTTTTGTTTTTATTAGGACTTACATGTTAGGAGATCCGTGGAGCTGGCATTACAGGCAGCTGTGAGCCACTTGACGTAGGGACTGTCGGCAGAGCTTGTCTTCTGCTAAAGGAGCAAGTGCTGTCATCCACAGCCACCTCCAGCCTAATTATGGCTTTGGATCAGAGTTTCATACAAATGTGAAGACAGGAATTTGAAAGTTTCCTGAACAATGAAATAGTTAAGTACTTAAGGATGGGTAGAAAGTGCTAAACTGCACTCTATGTGTGGAAGCTAGGTCAGTGGAAGTACACTTTTGTAGCAGGGTTTGAGGATCAATCCCTAGCAGTGAAAATGTTTTTAAAAGAACATTCTGTAAAAACTTAGTAGGCAGTGGATGAGCTCAAAGCACTGGCTGCAGCTTACAGCCCGTGTGTGGTATGGAAAGCCAGACACGGAGGCATGACTGAGGCGAGGCACCAGGTCACAGTGACTATAATGTGCAGAGGGCAAGCATGATGCATCCCGTGAGCAAGTGTGCAGGAAAGCAGCTGAAGAGTGTGTGCTTAGCATTCGAGCCCTACAGTCCCCAGACAATCCCAAGGATACAGCTGTAAACCATGCAATGCTTGCCAACTCTTCTCACCTCAGGAGAGGCTCCTGTTTAAGACCCTGGAGTGCATCCTCAGTACCAAAAAGAAAGTTATTCTTTTTTCCAAGGAGACTTCACTAGTTTCTTCCATACATGTTTAACTGTTTTAAAACATATCTATATCTAGCTTTAACTTAAAATACTCCTGCTTCAGCCTCCTGAGTGCTGAAATTATAGGTGTACCATATGCTCAGAGAGCACAGAATTTCTCTGAAGTGTTTCTTGGGTTTGTTCAAACCATGAGGAACATCCTAACCACTGCCCATTCGTTTCTGAACCATTCCACCCTTTTTAATATAGCAGGAGGCTAAGATCCAAACACACTACTCACGGGAACATGGTGGGGGTCTTTATTAAAGCCCTCATTGACATGAGTAGACAGCTCCAGGTGAACTACACCATTCTTTAATTTTTCACAATGGATTTGTTTCTCAAGCCCCTTTGCAAAGAGGAGTATTTGTGAACACACATTCTACATTCTAGATACTTCCCAAACCTCACATCCTGTCAGCATCTATGGATGCAATTTCTTTGCATCTTTGTTGGCAGTTAAAAAGGAACCCTGAGGTGTCCTAGTGACTTTCCACTAAGGCTGGAACTCAAGGATCTGCCTGCCTTGTATTGAAAGCTTTTTAAAGCAATAAAAATTTCATTGTTCCAAAAAGGCATTAACAGGTAGACTGAAATCCAGAGGGTATCTGCATCAGTGTCATTACATAAGAGTATATAATAAACCTTGAGAGAAATTCCATTAAAAAATACTGTGACCAAGAAAATATTGCTTGCCTTTAAATAAATATAAGTGGCAAAAAAAATTAAATATACTAAAGGGCCATTTTTACAATTACAAAGTTTACATGTAAGGATCCCAGGGAAGGACACCTGAAGTCTTCTCCACATACCTGCTATGGAGCAGGACCAGCTGTTTATGATGAGAGTGGCTCTCCAGACCGAGTCCATGTTTGTGAGTTGTTAAATTGCTTTTCAGACACCCAGGCCGCCTGATGAGTCTGGGGTACAGGTGATGCACCTGTGTTCATGTCAGATCCTCTCTCCTGCACCAGCGCCTTTTCCTATTTTTCTGAATCCCCTTTCTTCCCGGCTTCTTTGCCCCTCTGCAGTCCTTTGTGTTCCACGGGGAAGCCAGCCCAAACTCTCAGCACTTCACTCCTACCTGGCATTTCCCTCTATCATACATCACAAATATAATTCTAGTCAAAAGGAAAGCATTATGCCACTGTACACAGGATCTAGTCCTGAGTATTCACAGCACGACTGATCCTGGAAGATTTCTTACCAAAACAGGACCAACAAAGTCACGTGACTGACGTTCTGCTAAAAAGAAACCTGTTAAAGGCCATCTGCTAGGGCATGGCTGACACTAGTATGCATCCAGCAGTTCCATCAAAGAGGCTGCAGGTAACTATCCCACATTAAGCCAACACTCAAGCATCAGCACTGACTGCTATGTTCACTGTGAAATAGTACAAATGACACTCAATCTTCCCTTCTGTCCATAGCGAGCAAACTGCAAACACACAACCTGGGTCCCTTCAGACACTGGCCCAAGTCCAACATGGAAGCTGGACGTAAGAGGCACAGACTAGTCCAATGTGGGGTCCAGTGGTGGGGCTTGTGGGCTCTGGGGAGCACAGCAGAGCTCAATCACAGATCCTTGAGATGAGTGGGGACTGGTCTGGCATGTACAGTACAGGTGGGGAGCCCACACTACTGGAAGGACTTCGGAAGTGGGTGTCAAAGGAACTTGGGGTAAGACCAATTCCTGCATCCATCTGGGGCACTTCACCTTTCAAAAAGTCATCGTCTTCATCTTCCACAGGCTCCTGTGTAAAGAACAGAGTGTTGAGGACCTCACAGTACAGTCTGAAAAGTCTTCATGGGCTGCTGAGGTGGTAAAGGTGCTTGTCATCTAGTCTGGCCACCTGAGTTTAGACCAACATGTAAAAGGAAGGAACCAAACCCCACAAGTTGTCCTTTGACTTGGTGTACACACGTACAAACACACACGATTTCTTTGTTTTTCAGCCTTTTGAGACTTTTCTATTTATTCCTGACTGTCCTGTAACTCCCTCTGTAGAACAGACTGGCCGAAAACACAGAGATCCTTCTGGGTGCTGGGATTAAAGGTGTACACCACCATACCTGGGCCTAGTATTTTTTTATTTTATTTTATGTATATGAGCATTTTGCCTGAGGAGATCAGAAGAGTGTGTATGATCTTCTGGAACTAGAGTTATATATAGGTGGTTGTGAGCTGCTACTTGGGTGCTGGGAATTGAACCCAGGTCCTCTGGAAGAGCCCAAGTAAATGCTCTTAACTGATGTGATGACCCTTCGCTCCAGAACCCCTAGATTTTGGGTTTTTAAATGAAAAGCTTACTAATTCCTTTCCTGAGCCAGAGAAATAACTCAGTCAATAAAAAGGGAGCAGACTCCCATGCCCAAAACCAAAGTAAAAAGAATCCCAGCACTGGGGAAACAGAAACAGCCACCAAGTCTAGCCTAAATGGCATGTCCCAAGCCAGTGAAAGCTCCCACCTCAACGAGTACATTGTGATGCTGAATGTACGGGTCAGACGCTACAGACAGCAACATCACTCATTTCCTCCGGAGCAGTGGTTCCCAACCTTCCTGATGCCTCGATCCCTTAATACAGTTCCTCATGGTGTGGTGAACCCCACAGCAATCCTCCCAAGTACTGGGATTACAGGTGCAGCTATTCTCAGCTTTTTTTTCTTTCTTAGCTCCCCATTGTATACTCCCAGACAGAGTCTCACTATGAAGCAGACAGGCCTTAAAACTCTTGACTTTCTGGCCTTAACCTCCCAAGTACATAAGACAATGGGCATGAGTCAACTGACACACCTAGCTTTGCAGTGCTGGGGTGGAACCCAGGGCCTCAAGCATGCTAGTCAGGCACTCTACCACTATGCCACATTACTGCCTGCAAGCTAATTTCCAACCAACTTTTTACCTCCCAAAGTTATTATAGAAAGTACCTGATAATTTAAAAGAAAATAAGCATAAGGGTCTGTCTTCACTCCCCAGAACTTATAGTTTTAAAAGTCAGGTAAGATGCTGGCAGTGGTGGCACATGCCTTTAATCCCAGCACTCAGGAGGCAGAGGCAGGAGGATCTCTTTGAGTTTAAGGCCAACATCATCTTCAGAATGAGTTCCTGGACACCCAGAGCTACACAAAGAAATCTGTTCCCCCAAAGACCCAAACAAACAGTAAAAATAAAGCCAGGCATGGTGACACATGCCTTTAATCCCAGCACTCAGGAGTCGGAGGCAGAGGCAGAGGCAAGAAGATCTGAGTTAGAGGACAGCCTGGTTTAGGAGTTTCAGGATAACTAGGCCTACATAGAGAAACTCTGCCTCAAAACACCTAAATAAGCAAGTAAATAAATAAATGGATAAACAATGAGTAAACAAACAATGAACACGTGAAACCTCGGCCTTGAGAAGGCAGAGACAGGCAGGTTCCCTGTCCTGGCCAGACTAGGCTACTTGGCAAACTCAAGTCAGTCAAAGACCCCATCTTATAAACTAAGGTAGCCCCTAAGGCCCAACACCAAGACTGACCTCTGGTTTACACGCACATGCACACACCTGATCTCACACTCACACATACAAACATATACAAAAGAAGAATTACTTAGTATGGTGGCAAACAGCACTCAGTGAGGGGAAGGGAGGGCCCCAGACCTTCATGAAACCCCCATGATAGAAATAAATAAAACAGAACTCCACAAATCCTCTCTATTACCAAAAACATAACCTGGTCTTGGACCAGGTTTACTGTGGTCTGTAACTACATGAGACTTTCACCAAGTGCCTCCATCACAAATTTACCTTTTTAGTAGGTTTCTTAAATTCTTGTAGCTCTTCAGCACTCATGTCTTCCCAAATCTGATAAATAGGATCAATAAACTTCTTTGACCTGCCAACAAGGATGGCAATCCAAAGTAAATTAATATGTAGCCAAACATCCCAATCAATACCTCAGCTCTATTCTCAGACCTACATCCCAGAGCAGGAAGTGAGGTCAACTGCTGACAAGGGAACTGTGAGTCCTGAAACCCCAGTCACACAGGTGAGCAATTTATCTTCCATCTCTCATATTTCAAGGCCCACTTGTTTCTGATCCACTTGGTGACTGACAGTTTATAATCATTATAAGCCTCAGTGTGTTTATTTGGAACCAAATGGCATGGGACCAGGCTGGACAAAACTCTGTCTACAATCCCAGCCTTGGGAAGAGCAAGTATGTCTCAGAGACAACTGAGAGGACCTACCTCTTAAGCACACAAGGGTCAAAGGGAAAAAAGGTATCCAGTGGGTTGGTGCAGGTCTGCACAGAGTCTCCACCAGCTGTACTTCGAATAACAGGAAGCATCTGACGACTGTTCCTCTCCATGATGGTATAGCAGAACACAAGCTGGTACTTGCTGTGGGACACACGACAAAACAGATGAAGCAAAACCCTGCTGGGGTCACCCCTGTGGGTCGTGATGTACACAGATTATAGCTGTGATGCAGACAGTGCAGAGTGTAAGGAGGGTGACAAGAAACAGGACCACTTAGGGTCAGCACTCTGAGCCTGGTATTTGCATATCTGCTGAGGAGGAAGGAAACAGAGTATCGAATCAGGTGGAGATTGATGGGTATTATGAGAAGCTAGCACCGTTATAAGGTGAAAGGCTCAGCACAATAGGAAAATGTTCTCTGTTTTCAAAAGGAATTAGGATTCATGGAAAAAAAAAAAGATTCACTGTTTATTGGGGACCAAGAGTAGATCCAGTGGACGTGTTCTGAATTGTAATGAAGGACTTGACTAGAGTTGACTGGTTTTGAGAGACAGGATCTCATCCTGTAGCCTTGGCAATCTTCCAACCTCAGCCTCACCAGTATTAGGATTACAGGCATGAACCACACACCAGCTATGTTCCTCTTCTTCCCCATTCATACCTTTGATGAGACAGACTTTAAACGGTTGACTCTCTGCCCTTAGCCTCCCAAGTACTGAGATGACAGGGATGAGCAGTTTTCTTTTTGTTTGTTTTTTTGCAAAGTCCAGGGCCTCAAGCATATCTACTGCTAAGTGATTACTTTTTAAATTTGAGCTGGTGAATATAACTTAAGAATGAGAGCCTAAGCCATACCATTTAAAAGCAAATATAGGTAATGACTCAGCGATTCAGCACTAAGACACAGATTTGATTCCCAGTATCCATATGGTGGCTCACAACTGTTTGAGACTCCAGTCTTACGAGATCGGGCACTCTCTACTGGCACCAAGCGTGAAGGTGCTACACAGTTATTTCAGACTGCCTAGGCCACTCTAGATAAAAGTCGGCTTGACTCCCAGTGTTGCTGAAGAATAGAAAGGCTAGATGTAGTATTCTTTTTTGTTTGTTTGTTTGTTTGTTTTTTGAGACAGGGTTTCTCTGTGTAGCTTTGGAGCCTATCCTGGTACTTGCTCTGTAGACCAGGCTGGCCTCGAACTCACAGAGATCCACCTGCCTCTGCCTCCCGAGTGCTGGGATTAAAGGCATGCGCCACCTACGCCCGGCACAGTATTCTTTCAAGGAACAGCATTACTGGTTTCTTCGTGTGTGTTGATATCAAAAAATATACTGGAATTTACTCTCAATGCTGGAGCACACATGGCAGTCAGCACAACAGTCTCCCCCACCCCCTTGACTTTTTAAATGTCCATAAAGGAAACTCGAATGACTTACTTTGTGACAGCAGCAAAAAAATTAACCACTGATGGTAGGCAGATCTTCAGAGGGTTCAGCTGGCTCAGCACAACACGCTCAAAGTTTAGGCTCTGAAGATATCGTAAACCTTTGATAAAAAGAAAGGGGGGGGCTCTAAGATTATCTTTAAAAGCACAAATTATTAAACATTTAAAAACAAATTTAGCAGGGTGGTAGTAGTGCACACCTTTAATCCCAGCACTCTGGAGGCAGAAACAGGTGGATCTCTATGTTTCCAAGGCTAGCCTGGTCTACAGAGTAAGCTCCAAGACAGCCTCCAAAGCTACAGTCTTGAAAAATTGAGAAAAAAAAAATATGGGCTCTCTGGTAGAGCATGTGCTTAGGATGGGCTTGAGCTCCAGCATACCCCAAAATAAAGACATTATAAGCTGTTTGTAGAAACACAGGAATGAAGTTCAACCCAACTGCTGCCATTCGGTGCAGCTTTTCTGAAGAAGCCACAGCTCCTGGCAGATGAAGGGTTACAGGGTGTAATGCTTAGAATAGGTATGACACCCCACAGATTCATGCTTGCATGCTTGACCCATAGGGAGTGTAGTATTAGGAGATGTGGCCTTGCTGGATGAAGTGTGTCACTCTGAGGGCAGGCTTTGAGGTCTCATATGCTCAAGCTTTGCCTTGTGTGGCTCAGAGCCTCCTGCTGCCTGAGGATCAAGATGTAGAACTCTCAGCTCCATCTCCAGCACCATGTGTGCCTGCACGCTACCATGCTTCCTGCCATGATGATAATGGACTGAACCTCTGAAACTAAGCAGCTCCAATTAAATGTTTCCCTTAAAAAGATTTTCTATGGTCATGGTGTCTCTTCACAGCAACAGAACACTGACCAAGTATGACACATAACAAGCTGGACTCAGTACCTGACAGCTCAGGGCAGACTGAATATAACAAAGGACAGAGACCACAGAAGCTGAATCCCAAAAGGCAACGACAGACTCAGTCTAACTTGCATGTCATAACTGCACAGCCAAGCACCATCCTCAGGTGCTCATTGTTGTTTGTATTTCCTCCCTCTCCCCATCAGCCATAGTAATATAAACCTGTCTCTTGAAGCTAATGAATTCCCTCCTACAGTGGAATCCTAGTCCAGGCCAGGGTACAGGGTTATGAATTGAAGCTAACCTAGGATCCATTGTGGAATCACCTCAAAAAAAATTTTTTTTAACAAGATACAGATACATTTATTATTCTACAGCCAACAGACCAATTTTATGTTTGTTTTCTTAGGAATTTTTGCTATGTGGGAGAGATGGCCCAGTAATTAAGAGTACTTATAGTTTTTGCAGAGGATCTGGACTCAATTTCAAGCACCCATACTTCAGCTCACAACTGTACGTGGCTACAGTTCCAGGGTATCTGATGCCCTCTTCTGACACCCATGGCACCAGGCACACACATGGTGCACAGACATACATGCAGGCAAAACTCCCATACGTGTTCCATAAAATAAATGTTAATAAATCTAACACATAATAATAATATATACGATGTTACATGTGTTATATATTTTAATATATATATGTAGACATTTATTTATTTTATTTATTTATGATCACATAAACAAAGTCAGGTATGGCACACACCTGTGATCCCAGCCCTTGGGAGACTAAGGCAAGAGGACTATAGGAGTTCCAAAGTAGCTTGGGCTACCAAGTGTGAACATGACTCAAAACAATTTTAAAATTTACAAATAGTTATGGTGGAGGCTGAGTGGCCTATCTCTGTTGCTCTTACAGAGGAAGGACCAGGGTTTAGTTCCCAGTATCTACATAGTAGCTAACAACTGTTGAAAACTAGTCACAAAAATCTGACATCCAGTTCTGGCCTTTGAAGTCACTACATGTACATGGTACACAGACATGCATGCAGGTAAAATACCCATAAACATAAAATAAGTTCTAAAAAGAAATAGATGTGCTGGACTGCAAAAGGTATTTCCTCTCTAATAAAGACTCCTAGCCTAAGGCTAGTGAGATGGCTTATCAAATAAAGGTGCTGGCCACCAAATCTGGCAACCAAGTTTGATCCCCAGGATACACATATTAGAAGAGCACTGACTCCCTCCTGCAAGTTGTCCTCTGACCTCCACAGCATGCAGCGTGCGCGCGCGTGCGTGCGTGCGTGCGTGCGTGTGTATGTATGTATGTATGTATGTACACTTATTGGGTTCCAGGCACAACCCCTGACCCAAATGTGTGTGTGTGTGTGTGTGTGTGTGTGTGTGTGTGTGTGTGTGTGTGTGTGTGTGTGTGTGTATGTATGGTGTGTGTGTGTGTGTGTGTGT